TATAGCTTCAAGTGTGTACCCTATGCTATCTTCCAGCAGTATCAAAGTTTGTTTTTATATGTTTTTGATAAATCTTGATTTTATTTTAGTACAGGATGAGACATATGGATCTCGTTTCAATCTTTTGCACATTGATAACCAGTTTTCTCAGAGAAGTACCATTTGTTAAACAGGCTATCATTTTTCCAAAGTATATTTTTGGCTCCTTTGTCAAAAATCAGAAGGCTGGTTGTGTATGGGGTTGTTTTGATGTCTTTTCCCTTAGGCTATATCTTTGTGTCAGTAGCATGCTGGGTTTGTTACTACAGCTTTCAACTATAACTTGAAATCTGATGTTGTAATACCTCCTGCTTTGCTCTTTTTGCTCTCCTTTGCTTTGACTCTTCTGAGTTTTTTCTGGCTCATTTTAATTTAGGATGTTTTTTAATTCTGTGAGGAATGTTGTCAGTAATTTAATAGGGATTGCATTGAGTGTGTAGATTGCTTTTGGTAGTATGGCCATTGAAACAATATTGTCTGCCTATCCAAGAACAAAGTATGTTATTCCATTTTTGAACACTCTCTTCAATTTCTTTCTTCAGAATTCTGTAGTTTTCATTATAGAGATCTGTCACCTCCTTGGTTGGCTTGATTTAGGGTTGAATTTAAATTTTTTAAGCTATCATGAATAAAATTGCTCTGTTAATTTTTTTCTTGGTGTACAGGACACTATTAATTTTTGTGTGTTGATTTTGTTCCCTGTACCATTTTTCATAATGACATATGTCAGTATCTTTCCAAGTCTATGACTTACATTTGCATCTATTCCACATAGCACACATGAACTATGATTCCAAGATGGATGTATGATTTTTTAGTCTATTGTAAAACGTGTTGAAGACAAGAAAATTCTCCTAATATTTTTCATAAGATTATTTTACTTTTCATAAACAAATCTTTCACTTACATGCAGTCTGTTTGTATGAGAAGAATAAGCTTTTATGCTTTTGTTTTCCCATAACCAATGTGCACAGTCTCATTTATTCATTGTAGCATCAGTTATCTAAATATGCATGAGATGGTTCCTGTGGTCCTCTCTTTCTGTCTCTCTCTGTCTCTGTCTCTCTGTCTCTCTCTTTATATTTCAATGTTTAGATTCAGTGTTGACCTTATGGGGAAAATTTATTCTTGATGTGGTTTACATCTAATTTGGTTTATGACCAGAATTGTGGAAAGAATTGTTTCTGAACCGAAGTTCCTCTCCCTCCCTCCCTTCCTTGCTCCCACGTCCTTCCCTCCCTTTCTCTCATGACATTTTTATGTTATTTGCCATCTGTGTATATTCTGTGGTTACATGTGTGCAAATTTTTTTGCCATCTATCTACACATCTATCTCTTATTCAGTAAGAACTTAATTCTTATACCTTCATGCTTTTGTCATATACATAGTAGTGCAAATCATATTGTCCTCAAATATAATTCTTCTTTCAAACAGTGTTGGCTATTCTTGGCCATTTGTTTCTCCATAACAGCTTAGGGTCACCTTTAAGGAACTTTTTCCTTGTTAGAACTCCTGGGGAGAACTGACATTTTTGTGATAATCTTCTTATCCATTACTTCATTTAATTGAATCTTCTTTGATATTACATTTTTTGGCTCTCACACTGTTATTGTTACCATCATGTCTAAAATTATGTGGTATGAACATTCTTCCTACTCCCCACCTCTCTTGCCTCACTTCTCCCCTTGTCTGTTCTCCACAGGGTAACAAAAGCGATCTGTAAGATTATGGCACAATTATGCTCAGAACCATCTAATAACTTTCATGTCAGTAAGAACAAAACCTCAACCCCATAACTGTGGGCTAGGAGGACCTCACTTGGTCATCAGCTGCTTCTCTGATGGTATCTCCTTCATGCGAGCACTCAGTGGGGTCACTCCCCAAAGACACTTCTAAGCATGTTCCCTCCTGAGCCCTGTGCACAAGGTTCCCTCTGCTGGTAATTAGCAGTTCAGGTATGCAGGTGGCTCATTCTCTCGCTTCATTTAAGTATTTACTCTACTGCCCTTTACCTTAGGGAAAGTTTTTGGCCACCCTAGCTAAACTATCATCCCTGTCCATATCACCATCCCAACCCAGGCTAATTATGCATCATAGCACTGTTACTATCAGACATAGTGTCTATTTGTTAATTTTCTCTTCTCCTCTTGAGCTCTATGCTGCAAGAGTAGGCAGAAAGTGAACGTTTATGGCCTATTCACATTGCTTACTGTGCTGCCTGGACACTTCACAGTAACTCTGTGACAATAAAGTTAGCACACTTGGTAGGCTCATCACACAGGGCAGAGCAGCATGTCTAGAATATGGTGGACCCTCAAAAATGATTTGTTGAATGCAGGTTTGTATTTTCTTCATATAGTCATACATTTCTTTTGAGAAACATATTCTTAATTTTTTCCATACAATTATATCTCACATTTTTTTCTGTTTTCCCCTATTTATGGGTGTGGCTTTGTGAAAGAGATAGAAAATTGTTTAAAAGAACTCAGCATCATTTCTACCTTTCCATGTAACACACTCTTATTTTACATCAGTATTTATTTCAAAGTAGCTAACACTGAAAATAAATAGGAGAGCATGTTTTAAATGAAATATTTTGCTAGTGACAGTCATATATTGTACCATCTGTCATTCAGAATAAAAAAATTCAGAATTGGTCACAAAAACAATCTTATGAAAAGTGATTTAATCTCATAACAGCAATGTGGCCTCCTGGCAAACAGAAGGAATATAAGACACTGCAACTCAGTCTATTCTCTGCCAATTTATGTCACCACAGATCTGGAACCACTATAACCCAAGATACTCTTGCTTTTCCACCTGCATGTCTACCAAGTAAGGGCAATTATTCTGCAAGAGATGGAAATTCTTTTATGGAAGACATTGAATTCTAGGGTGGAAAACAGTGCATCAATAATGGATGTCAGTAAGAACACAATGAGCCAACTTCATTTCCATAGCTACTTCAGAGGCAGAGAGCCAGGCACCACACTGAACAGTATGTGGAGAGCTTATTGTTCCTGTATGCCTTCAGGAGTCCTTTCAGCATGAATCTCTCTGAGGTCAATTTTCTGTTGGACCATAAACACTGTACATTTGCAAAAATAAAAGACAAAAGGTCTTGCTCTAAAAACAATTGTTATCATCAATGCTTAAGCACTAGATCAGCAAAACTGGGACCATGCAGGTGTCTGTGGGATCTGCTGACTTTCTGAAGAACTCCTAACTAGTCAGCAGTGTGGAGTCTTGATAGATGAGGTAATGCTTAGTGAACGGAAGCTCATTTTTTATTCAGTACCTGTAACTCCGGCTTTGTTCAACTGAATAACTGCTGTACTTCAGCACTCAAGGGTATTAACTGCTGTTTTAGAGCTTTGATGTACTGTTCATTTTGTAAGGCAGTTGAAGGGTGTCTCAACTTTGGCTGTAGATAGCCGCATTACTGGGCAGATAAAAGGGGTTCCATGATACTGCAGTGTAACTGACCACACCCAGAACTCTCTTTACTGGCATAAAAGTAAAACAGCAACATGGCAGCCTTTTAATTAGGTACATAAATGATAGAGGTTAATCTACATTACTTACTAAAGAAACATATTTAAATGTTCTTGGTTTTTGTTGGGTTTTTTTCCCTTAGAAAAGAGGAAACAAAGAAAATATAGTAAGAACCACTTCTACCAAGACTTGAACTTAAAGGAGCTAAGCAACTTCAGATTAAATTCATGCTTCTTAGTTCTCCCTTTCCAACCCTCACATTTTTGCCAATTATCACCAGTGAGAAACAAGGTATTAACTGCCTATTTTTCAAGGGACAAAGTGTTTAATAAATAATTGATTACTACTTGTAGGAATCTGCAGATAAAACAATAAATTTTCCTGGGGGGTGGATATTCTGTTTAAAGTATCCCCCCCCCCTTGAAGGGGAAAAATTTAATGTGAACAGATTTATTGATTTAATGGCCCTGAGAAAAGCACTGTCATGTTTTCCTCCTTCCTTCTCAGCATTGTAAGAGTTTTCTTTCATTCAGTCATTTGTGAAAAGCAAGAGTCTTCAAGCTATCAATATGCTCAGAACACTACAAGGATTTAAAATGATTTAGACTATGAAATATCAGACTTGCATGTCCTTCCAGAAAGACATATCTACATAATGAATATATGTGTGAATGGATGTAGATGTATGAGTCAGTATACACAATTCTTACTCTCATAAAAACAAGTAAAAGAAGTATTTGCTTCAGGAGTAATCAACATGAAATATTAAATCTATATAAAGAAAAAAATAATGTGGAAAAAAACTTGAAATTAACAGAGATACTCTCTTGGACACTAAACTGCTACATACCATGGTAATATAGTAAATGAAAATAAACCTTATGTTTTGCCGAAAATTTACAATAAATAAAATGGCTATAAAAATTCTTTATGATAAATCCAGAATATATAGAGAAATACTTGAATTTACACATGCAGTGAATATTATACATGCCTAAGTGTTAACACATAAAATTTTCTTCATTCAGCCCATCTTAGGTTGTTTCCATAGCAATGGTGACAGGATAGCTAAAAATCACTTTACCATTTCCACAGCTTTGTAGTGGTCATCTTCTGTCTATTTCTATTTTTTTTTTCTGAAGAAAAAAATGCCTCCACACAGCTAAATATTAATTTAACAATACCTTTTCATCCTAGTCCAAAACATAAGATTAGGCCTATATTGGATTAACTTCCCTTATGGATTTATATTTATGTTTCCCTCTGAGATTCTGGTGGAAATTTAACATGGAATATAATAGTCCCCTCTAACTGTGAGAAGGATTTATATATCCACATGTGAGGGACCAATTCTTGAAAGCATTCCCAACCTTCACACATCCCCCTTCTTATGTTTATCTGTCAGAATTCTGGCAGGAAACAGATGGCACATTTAAGATGGCTGATTAAAGAGTTTAACAAAGGGATCATTTATAAGGATGAGACTGGAAATAGGAGCAAGAAATAGGGCAGGGACTTCCCAAGGACAGGGCAGTGAGAGCTGTTACCATCTGTAGGGCACAGCAAGCCAGTAGAAGTTATCTGAATCTAAAGCGGGTGGTTGGACAAAGAAGGTGTTTGTGGGAGCTGTAGCCCTTGGTAAGGTGACGCAGACAATCATGGCAGTGACCTGGTAAGAAGGGAGCCAGTGGAACAAATGTCCAGATTTTACCTTGGGTTGCTGTGCTACCAGTGTCCCCACTGCAGTGTAATTGGGGCCAGACCAGAACCCAGAGGAAAGAGAACCCATTAATACTTTTTTATATAGGTCAGCTTCTCTGATGAAGACACAAAAGCAGGGAAGAAAAAAATGAACTGAGGATTTAGAGAGATATCCATCTCATCCCCTCTTAACGCATATTTATTGAAAATCACTCTTCATCTTGGAAACAACAGAGTGGGAGTTTTTCATCAACAGAACTAAAAAGCAATTCATATTTTGAACTATATGTGGAAAAGAGACACAAAGACTCATACATGTTATAAGGTAAGAGAAATATTTATTTAATTTTGCACAAGAACGAGCTCATACTGAACGAATTCAATGAAATAATATTAAGTGCAGTAAAACAAGGAAATAGGAGTGACTTTTCTTGTTAGAAAATATTAAGTAACCATGCCTGTGCATTATTTTTATGATAACAATAACTTGTTTCAGATTTCTTTTCAGAGTGTGTACTGTACATAACATGTTATAGCTTCTTTGCTTTACTTCTGAAAATATAATTCATTCACTGCCTTACATTTTACTTTTTGCAGTGAAGAACCTACTGATTCATGAAGAGTCTAATCTAGGAGAACTTCTGCACCAGTGAAGCCTGAGGCTTTCAAAGATCTGATGGGCTCAGGCTTCCTCTCTGGACAGCAGAGTGTCGTCATTGGTGTTCCCACCCATTCTTCTATAAGGGTGATGTTAGATTCAGTAGATGCAGGTTATGATCTAGTTTTGCACAAGAATTTTCCTTTTGTGATTTTTCTTAAGCTCCACAAACATCATAATTGAAAGTTTAGTCAGCTGTTAGCAAAGCTGCACTTAGCTGCCCACAAATCATCCAATTTAAGGTTTAACTTTTGTTTTGGTCTTTTCAATGAAAGGACATTCTTGAAACAGAAATCTCCCATCAGATAGTTAATTTCACAGCTCCTGAAGGCACTGTGGATCCACTGAGCAACAAATTTGGCCATTCTGGAGAAAGAAAGGTGATGTATTAATTTTTCAGCCATCAGTAAATGTTCACATTTATTGATTAATACATACAAACCTAACTGTAGAGTTTATTTCTGCCCTATTGACAATTGATTGTATAGCTTTTCATGACTACCATTGCAAACTCTTATGCCCAGTTATATGTGGCATGTGATATAGCATAGATGTGTAATATAATTATTCTTTTATTAGTTTACAATAATATTTAGTATATTAAATACTAGGTTAATTGCTAAATAAAGCAGATTTGGTTATTAACCTCACAGGACAATGTTTACAGTTTATTAAGGGAGAAAACAAGTAAGAACCAAGCAAAAATACAATCAGAAATTTTGAAAGGTGCTGGAAAGTGTTATGGACTGAATGTGTCCTTTCAAAATCCTAATCCTCCATGTAATCCTATTAGGAGGTGAGGCCTTTGGGAGTTAATTGCGGCATGAAGGTGGAGCTTTCATGAATGAGAGTAGTGCCGTGTAAAAAGAAGTGAGAGAGCTGCTGCTTCTCTCTCTGCTATCTGCCAGGAGATGTGACTATCTATAACATCAGATCTGCCAGCCTCTTGATCTTGCACTGTGAGAAATGAATTTCTCAGCCTCCAAAACTGAGAAATGAGTTTCTGTCATTTAGGCCACTGAGTCTGAGGTACTCTGTTACAGCACCCCAAACTCAGACAAGAGAAAAACAATTAGGCGGTGTTATGAAATGAACAAAAGACTGTCTACTTAGATTGGTGGCCAGGGTAGACTTTTCTGAACAGGTGATACTGAAATCAAGATCTGAAGAGAGCTGTATGACAAGGTAGGCCGAAAGCACAGGGAATGGCATGAGGAGAGACTCTGAAGTGACAAACGTTTTTGTGGTGAAGAAACTGAAAGAAGGTCTGGATGAGAATTTTAAGTTAGTGGAGAAAATAATATAGAGATGAAATGGAGGAAAAAGACCGGCAAAGGATGGAGATATATATATATATATATACATATATATATATATATAAAATTAGTTTTTATAATACAGTATCAAAATAATATAAAGTACTATAAAGAAGGAAAAATTCTATACTGTCTTCTTTGCTTCTTTGTACTCTTACTTTTCTCAACCAGCTAATAACTAATAATGATAATGTGAATGCCATTATTATAATCACAGTGATGATAATTTCCTTATACTTCTTGAGTATATACTCTGTGTGAGACACTTTGCCAGGAATTTTAAATACATTATCTAATTTCAACCTCACATCATACCCAGTAGGATCACTATAAATAGTCACACTTTTTAGTTCAAAAATTGAAGATCAAGAAGCTTAAATATCATGTCCAAAATCACACAGTTAATAAATGATAGAGCTGTGATTAAAACTTAGGTTAGTCTGTCGCTAAAATTCATCCTCTATTCTATATTTTCTCTCAGATAATTGACTTTCAATGATTGAAAATGTATTATCTTTTAATATGATAAAATAAAAAGTATTTTTTCTATAAGATACAATTTTAAAATAGAAAATGTAATACTCTATCCTTTATTGAAGCACACCAAATGAGGGGAAAATCCAGTCTATATCCAAGAAGAATATTGTCAATTGAACCTAGTCCTCATCCTTCCTAAATGACTATTAAGCAGAATTATTATTCCGGCAGAAAGAGAGCCCCAATTATCTGTAAGATCTTTAGTGGCATTTTAAAGCTTTGGCTTCCTGCATTGAGGCATAAGTTTTCTAACCATAACCTGGTTTCATGATCTCTCTTAATCCATTGGCCCAATGAGGTGATGAGTGTGCTAGCCCCTGAAAGAATCCATTCTTTAAACAGTATGGCATTTGAATAGAAATAGAGTTAGTAATCTGTGGTGCCTTCTGACACTGAGTATGTGAAGGTAGCATCAGAGCACCATGAGGCAAAAGCCCTTGGTATTGCTCCTGTAAGTGTGTTTTATGAAGGCACTACTGGTATTTATTTTCCAAAGTCTTCCAGGGGCTTTTCTCTTATTTCACATCAATGTGTTCTGCAATTTACAGGACAAATATTCTACAAACTATATCATTGGCAGCTCCTTAATTAGGCAAACATACTTCAAAAAGGAAAGAGTAATAAAACATCCCACTGGGGTTCCTGTTTCAGTAATGGAATAATTTCTTATGTAAGCCTAAATGTTCCTCTAAATAACAACTACAAAATCTGGACTAAATATTAAAATAACAATTGAAAGCAACAGAGAGAGGCAGAGTGACACTAGAGGAGTTTCAACCCTGAAAGAAGGGTAATGTACTGTATGAGATCCAGTTTTCCTCCTCTTTGGGGCACTGCCTGGGTCTGTGCATCTTAACTCAAGCAGAAAGCCACAATCTTTTAGGCTTGACAAGTCAGAAGACAGATTGGGGGCTAGCGGAGTGGCTCAATGTTGAGGGGGAACTATCTCTAAAGAATGAATCAACATATATCTCCCCTCAGATCCTTGGCTGGTTCTCAAACTGCAGAAGAGACTCTGAAGAGACATTAGAGAGCCCCAGCTGAGAGGCTGAATGGATGATGCACAATTTTTATCTTAGCAAATAAAATTCAAGAACATTTTCAAAAAGGTGAAAGGGAAAGTCCTACCCTTTTATAACTCCTATTCCTCAGTTCTAATCTTATTGAGGAGAAACTTATTCCTCAGTAAGTAACTGGCACACATGTTGCACAGTCTCTTAAGAGGCATGGTGCATCTTTTAGAGTATCCATCACAGTTGTAATATTGTCTTTATCTGTGTCATGATGTTCATTTAATGCAGATAATAACAACCAGTACTTATGGAGTACTTACTCTGATGTGTTGAGCATTGTATGAAATTAATGTGGGTTGTCTCACTTAATTCTTATAGCAACCTTCTGAAGTAGGTACTGTTACATATCCCTAGTAGGTATTATCATGTCCATTCTTCAGGTGAGCAAACTGAGTAACAGTGAGATTAAGGAAGGCCCTCCAAAGTGATATACTTAATGTGCTTCACCACAGTTCGCCTCCAGGAAACTTGAATTCTTAGGCTGCATTCTTGGCCACTAGGCCAGTGCCATCGAGAAGAATACTCTGAGATGGCAGAAATGTTGTCTACCTGTGCTAATATGATAGCCAGTACGCACATGTGGCTGTTGAGCAATTGAAATGTGGCTAGGCGACTGAGGAACTAAATTTTAAATTTTATTTAGTTTTAATTAATTTAAATGGCTTGCATACTACTGTTTCTAAGACTTTATGTTTTTTATTTAGTTTACTGTAGATACTACAATTATTACTAGGAAGTAGAAAGACTACTAAATTTAATTTTATAGGATAAGAATCAGAATGCTTCCAAATTTGTTGCTATTTATTGACTAAAAATGAGTAACTCAGAGGAGGAGGGAGAAGTAATAAAAAAAATCAGTGCTCTGAAAACACTGAATTTTAATGAATGTTCACCTCCAATGCAATATCTAAAGCATTTTTGCATGAACTTTAGTTTTTAAAATAGCAGAAAATAAATGTAATAAAATAATTTTTTTGTAAACAGAATAAATTTCTAAAAATTGAACATATCGTTACAATCTATGTTTATAAGAATGCAAACGGCATGAAATAGTAACTTTTAGAATCAACACTTACCTGACAAAAAGAAATAACTGTAATATTAAAATACACTTTCTGGAATACATAATACATCCCTACCAAGAGTCAAAAGATTGTAGTAGTTTTATATTACCTCATTCATGCTCTGTACTCTAGAAAAAACCCTAATGTTTCCTGCTTGTTAGTAAATGCATTTTTCTAGCTAGAAGTACCTGTCTGAGCTATGTTTGGGATAATTTTCATGCCATCTCTTGGTATATATTTTTATTGTCATTGCTTAGGACTGTAATCTATCAGATTAAGGGTGTAAAAAGACTCAGTTTTTTTTGATAATTGAATATCAGAAAAAATTTCCTATTGGTCATTAGCACTCAAGTTTTGAGACATGCACTGTAAAATGTACTCCTATTAAGCATATATTGAACTAGCACTGGATGTACATTATTATTAACTTTTAGTAATAGTTACTTTCAAATTTGCTAATGTACTTTCAGAAAATAGCAGCAAATGTTCACTCAAAAAGCTTTGCTTGATTGCCAGATTACACTGATTGAAAGAACTAGAAATTTGGGTCTGAAAAAGATAAAAGAGGTGTCTCAAACCCTAAATCATTTTATATTTCTTTTTCCTGTTACACCAATCCATTGCAATAAGAATTTACACTAAGTGAATCTGAATTAAATTTCTCTATTAAAAAAATT